AATGGAAAGAAAGAGAAAAAGAGGACAACCAAGCAGCAAGGTTGATGGACTGAATTAGAATGTGATGATAGCTGAACCACTAGAAAACCTGAAGAGAGACAGGTTGGGAAAAGGACATCCTCCGGAAGAGTTATGTGGTTGGTTAGAGTCAGCACCAATTTGATGGAATGCAATCATATCAATCAATATATTACCACAAATATTTGTAAAACAATTTAATAAACCAAACTTGATGTGTTCACAAAAGATGGAAAATTGTAAGTAATTGAATTTGACCCCAAGTTGTACTCTCCACCTCCCGAAATCCAAGTCAATGTGACAAGTCAAATAATTTTTTTTTAAAGTGAGTCTTGATTGCTAAATAGTTACAGGTAAGTTCTCAACTTAAAACCATTCATTCATTTAGTGACTGTTTTAAGTTACAACAGCATTAAAAAAAAAGTGACATAACCATTTTTCATACTTACGACCGTTGCAGCATCTCCATGGTCATGTGATCATAATTTAGGTACTTGGCAACTGACATGTACTTATGACAGTTGCACTGTCCCTGGGTCATGTGATCACCCTTTGTAATCTTCCCAGCGAGCTTCTTAAAAGCAAAGTCAGTGAGGGAAATCAGATTTGTTTAATTACTGCATGATTCACTTATCAATTGCAGTGATTTGCTTAACAACTGTAGCAGAAAATATCATACAGCAATTGCCTTGCTTAGAAACAGAAATTTTGGGCTCCGTTATGATTGTAGGTCAAGGACCACCTTTTGAGCGGATCTCCGTTTTATATGCTTGCTTCTTTCATAGTTTTTTTTTTTGAGTGCCTCAAGTGAGATTTTTTTGTGCTTCCAAGAAATAGGTCTATATGGTATAATGTAGTTCCAGGATGCAAAAAGTCTCAACAAAAAATAATGGTTTTTAGCACATTTTAGTTGTTGGTTGATTATGTAATCTGTCTCATATGTAATATTGCATTTGCATAACTATCCTATCTCCCAATTTATCCCAATTTCAGTTGGACATCTGTTTAGCCACTCCATGTATCTGATAAAATGAGTCGCAGCTCAGAAAAATATGTTACATTTTTTAAAATGTATTCATGGGAAATAATGTACCAGCCAACTCCTAGTTCCAGAATCTGAGTAAGTTTAGTTTGGTTGTAGAATATCTGTGAAGGTGAAAAGCAAATATATATACATTCAGCAATGATTTTTGTCTGAAAACAGCAGCAATGCATTGGTAAGGAAATGTACCTTTTACTGGAACAAAGACTAGTTATAGTCTATTGATTAGTTCTGAAAATCCATTTAGCCATCCTTCCAAATGCCAGGCATTTAAGGTGCTTCACATAATCCACACTAAAAATATATATGAATCATAGATAATAATGTTCAATACCGCTGCAAACATAATGCATCCCTCCATTTCTTTTTAAACCAATTTGCAAGTACAGAAAGTTGTAGAATAAAGGGACATTCAAGAACATGTACAAGTACAGAAAGTTGTAGGATAAGGGGACATTCAAGAGTTCTCCACTCTACTTGTTGTAGAATACCTTATGCCACCAGACTTGAAATTCTAGACCTAGAAAACCTTGAATTACGCCGTCTTCGGTCTGATCTAAGTATGGTATATAAAATCATACATTGCAACGACTTACCTGTCAATGAATACTTCAGCTTCAACCATAACAACACAAGAGCACGCAATAGATACAAATTCAAGGTTAACTGCACCAAACTTGATTGCAGGAAATACGACTTCAGCAACAGAGTGGTCAATGTCTGGAATACTCTACCTGACTCTGTGGTTTCTTCCCCAAACCCCAAAAACTTTAACCTTAGACTGTCTACTATTGACCTCACCCCTTTCCTAAGAGGTCTGTAGGGGGCGTGCATAAGCGCACCAACGTGCCTACCGTCCCTGTCCTATTGTTTCTCTTATTCTTCTTTTATTTTTCTTATATGTACCCATTTCATGTATTCATAACTATGTATATACTTATACCTATTATCTTGTAAGCGATTGACAAATCAAATAAATAAGCTTAGCATCCTTCAGTTGTGTCAATCATCAGCCCCTAGGATAGGGACGTCAAGTTAAAGATGGAGAGATTAAAAACTGGGAGACTCTGAGTGCTAGTCCTGCCTTAGGCACAAAACCAGCTGAGAGACTTTGGGCCAGTCACACGCTCTCAGCCCTAGAAAGAAAAAGGCAGTGGTAACCATTCCCAAAGGCTTGCCAAGAAAACTGCAGGGCCTTTTCCAGGCAGTTTCCAAGAGTCAAAAACTGACTTGAAATGACACACGCTCTCTCCAAATGCCCCCCTCTCCCCAAATGCTCTTTTCTGAAAATAATTTCATTGCACTGCTTTCTCTACGTGAGGAGAAACATCACGTTCTTACAGTTACAGCAGTTGTGTAATTTGTCTTCCGGTACACCTCAGATCTGTTTACTTGATTAGGAAACAAGACATCTGTTGTTGAGGAACACGGCAGAGTATCGTCATATTAGTTTGGGGGAAAAGAAATTTATTCACTGTGTTTTGGTGGGTTTGATGGACATGCAGAAAGGGGTTTAGGGGGTGATAGAAATAAGGATGCATGTGAAGATGTGACCCAACGCATAGATCTCGGAAGCACAGGCAAGGAAGGAAATATATTTTAAACTAAGAAAAAAAAATAGAACAGAATAACAGAGTTGGAAGGGACCTGTGGAGGTCTTCCAACTCTTCTGCTTAAGCAGGAAACCCTATGCCATTTCAGACAAATCTAATCTCTTCTTAAAAACTTCCAGCGTTGGAGCGTCCACAATTTCTGGAGGTGAAACGTTCAGAACAATAGAATAACAGAGCTGGAAGTGACCTTGGAGGTCTTCTAATGCAGTGGTTGCCAAGCAGTGGGCCGGGGACCACTGGTGGTCCACAAGAAAATTTTGGTGGTCCGCAGAGAAATGTCACCCCCAAAGCACCCCCCAAAGCAATCCAGGCTGCGCGGGAACACAAGGCTGCGCCACCCACATGGCCTGTGGGAACAGAAGGCTTGCATCTCTTGCATTGCGAACAACACGAGGTAGTGAGGAGAGGGGGGAAAGGGCAGAGGGAAGGAACTTACCCCATGCACCCCACGTGCCTCGCCTGGCCACCGGGCTGCTTCTTCCCTTTTCTTTCTTCTGCTTTTGCCTGCGCACAAGGAAAGCAGCAAAAAGTCTTTCTTTCTCTCCCCCAAACTCCCTCAGAAATGAGTCTTTGGGACCCTGCAAGGCATCCTGCTCCAAGAGGCTGCGCCGGCAGGACAAGTCTCACAAAGACTCATTTCTGGTGGAGTTTGGGGGAGAGAAAGAAAGACTTCTGCTGCTCTCCTTGCATGAAGCCAAGTCTCTAAATAAATAATGATCTATCGGTCGGAAAATGGGGTGGAGAATTTTCCTGCAGACTTTTTTTTAAATTTTTCCAGGGACTTAAAATTATGAGTTAGGTGGTCCCTGAGGTCCAAAAGGTTGGCAACCTCTGTTCTAATCTACTCCCCTCTCAAGCAGAAGACCCTATATCATTCAGACAAATGGCTGTCAATCTTTTCTTAAAAACCTCCAGTGTTCACCCACAATTTCTGGAGGGAAGCCATTCCACTGATTAATTGTTCTGTCAGGAAGTTTCTCTTTAGTTTTCAGTTGGGTCTCTCCTTGATCAACAGATTAACAGAGTTGGAAGGACCTTGTACTCTTAAGTCATCTAGTCCAACCCCCCCCCCCCCCCAGCCAAGCAGGAAACCCTACACCATCTCTTGAGTAAACCACAGAGGGAAAATGGAGCTGACAAACACCCTTCACTAGGCACAATCCATCTCTTATAGGTCAAATTTCCTTCCTTAATTAGTACACACTTGTGTTTCAGTGATGTTGTAAAGGTAATCTCGACTTACAACCACAGTTGAGATGAGAATTTCCATTGCTAAGCGAGGCAGTTGCTAAGTGAGTCACACCCCATTTTCTGCCCATTTTTGCCACAGTTGGTAAGCAAATCACTGCAGTTATATGAATCATGCAGTCGACTTTGCGTATCAGATAGGAAGGTTGCAAATCATATGAACCAGGGACGTAAATATAAGCTGGTTGCCAAGTATGTAAATTTTGATCAAATGACCATGGGGTTGCCTTGATGGTCCTGTGAAGGACCAATTGTAAGTCATTTTTTTCAATGTCATTGTAACTTCAATTGGTCACTAAACAAATGATTGTAAGTAGAGGACTACCTGCATTGTATGTTTTAAGTAGAAATGACCCTTACTAAGAGAAAAAATATCAGTTTTGTGATAGTAATGCCACTTAATACAATACTAATTTCATCACCAGATGGATATTGTATGTAATGTAGTGGAGGTTTCAGACATTATGATAAACTGACTTGTATTCATTTAGTGCAGGGGTGTCAAACTCTTGTCGTCACATTGTTGTCATGTGATGTATTGTGAGTTTCCCCCCCCTTAACTAAACTGAGGTGGGTGTGGCCAGTGCATGACGCATCTGGGCTGCGGGTTGCGAGTTTGATGCCCCTGGTTTAGTGGATCACTTTGCTTAAAGGATGCAAAGTAAAATATTAAAGTAGTGACTCAGCAAGAACATTTTTATCAGATTAAAAATGCAACTTAATGAAAGTGACATGTTTGTCCAATTCATACATTAAGCCAATGGTTCTTAAAGTGAGGGTAAATACCCCCAAGGGACTTGTACATATCCTGGGACTAATGGAGCAATTTAAAATTGCTTGTTTGTGAGTTCACAATCCAGTTTCAGGCTGCCATTGTCAACACTCTTGTATAAAAGAACCGTCAAGTAGGTTGGTTTTTTGGCGGCAGTAATGTCAGACCAGAAAAAGGAGTAATTGGGTCAAACCATTTAAGAACTACTAGTTTAAATGGTGACTTGCATTCAAGGTTTGCTTTGATCTGCTAACCATTGGGGGAGAAATAGCTTGCTTTAATTTGTTTTCCACCTTGTTTGTTTCAGTTCTCTCAAGTCAGACCCATCACAGCCCTCTGAAACGGTCTGTGTCCCTCACCCCACCCATGACTGTGCCTAGCCAGCCCCTCGGACATGGATGGATGTCTCATGAGGACTTGCGGGATAGGGGACCCCAGGGCATCCCTTCCGATCATGCCCCCCTGTCTCCGCAAAGCAGTGTAGCCTCCTCAGGCAGTGGTGGGAGTGAACATTTAGAAGATCAGACTTCTACTCGTAACACATTCCAGGAAGAAGGGAGTGGTATGAAAGGTGAGTGGAAAGAAATGAACGTTTTCCCTTCCTGTCCTGATTGCTTAACAACATGTGTGCCTACATTCACACAAAGTCCTGAAGTTGTTTGAAACACGTTCTTCAAAAACAGAATATGGAGACATTTTCATTCCATTTCTGACCTTAGGCTGCAGTTTAAAACTCTTCCATTAAACAGGTTGATTTGCAGAAGTTATTCCAGTTTATTTATTAGCTGAGATGGAACGTCTCCCCTAGGACAGCTATCAAGCTAGGTGAAAAAATATCACATCCTGCAATCCAAATTTCAATACAGAAAGTATGAAGCACATTAGCCCTCCCAGCCAAACCAGAGAGAAAACACAACAAAATGAACTAATTATATTTTATTGTAAGGCTCCTTTAACTGAACCGTGCAAGTCTGAAGGCCCAAACTTCCTGCTTTCATTTTAACTGCTTGAATCCATTAGGGCAGATCTTTCTTAAGTTTCTTTCTCTGGCCATTAAGTGACTGTGGAGTCCTGCATCTCTTGTCTGTTTCCTAGATAGCATCTCCTCCTCTCTTCCCCCAATTTTATTCATTAAAGTCCATTATACTGGGTTCGTCCTTTGCATTGAACCATAACTTGGTTTATTTTGTTTTACTTATTATGTTGTGCAGGCAGGTAGTTGCTCTATATTTGATAAACACTGATTAATAAACCAGAGTTTAGCAAGCATGTGAGCCCACTCAGTAGAAAAAATACATTTGGAATAGCTGGCTGAGAAAAAAAGAGTGCTGGAGTTCTGGTTTATGCATATCAAATACACACACATGACACAAAATGAAGAGAACTAATGAGTCTACTGGAAGAGCAGGCTGTTTAGCAAAATTGTAGGCACTGTGCAACCTTCTTTCCCTCCCATCTGAGTCTTTTCCCTGTACAGCCAATAAAATTACAACCTTGACACACACCACAGCAAACAATACAGTAGTTGAACAAATTTTGGGCTCAATTGTGATCGGAAGCATGATCAGAAGGAATGCTACAATGGTGTGAAAAGTGTGAAAAATGGTCACTTTTTCAGTGCCGTAATGTTGGACAGTCAATAAATAAGTCAAGTGCTACCCATATTTAATTGGATAGTACAAGTCTCTCCTATTCTTACGCAGTTCCATTAAATAATACATATAATAAGTATCCTGGACCTTATTCCTCCAGATGTGTGTAGATAAGTCCTTGCTGACTAAGGATTATGAGTTGACATGCAACCCATCTAGATCAGGGATCCCCAACCTTTTCGACGCCGCGGCCCGGTTCCGGCGTCAGCTGGGCGCCGCGGCCCGGTTCCGGCGTCAGCTGGGCGCCGCCATCTTTTTTTGACGAAAAATCACTTCCGGTGACGTCACCGGAAGTGATTTTTCGTCAAAAAAAATGGCGGCGCCAGCGCTTCTGGTGAGCTTTTTCGGGTAGAAATGGCTTTCTACCCGGAAAAGCTCACCCAAAGCGCTGGCGCCGCCATCTTTTTTGACGAAAAATTGCTTTTTTTACCAAAAAAAGATGGCGGCGCCCAGCAACCAGCGGCCCGGTAAGGCTTGTTCCGCGGCCCGGTACCGGTCCGCGGACCGGCGGTTGGGGACCCCTGATCTAGATGACCCCAAATTGAAAATACTCCTGTGTGTAGAGTATTTCTGGCTTCTGCATCAGCATAAGAGGGATTTTTTGTTATCACCTTCCATGTGTACTTCTATCTGTGCCATGGCATGTTAACCAGGAGTTAGCTGGTCCCATCTGTTGCTTCTCCTTTACAGCTAAGCATGATGAGGAAACGGCCTTTTTCCAATGTCTCATTCTGCTTCTCAAGGGGGCAGTTTTGTGGGAGTTGTGCTTTTACTTCTCTTCACATTGCTTCAAATGATGCTTAGAAGACTTGTGTAAGGCTTCCCTGCTTTGGTTGAAATAATTCTTTTTCAAACTTGGGAACTTTTAAAATGTGTGGACTTCAACTCCCAGAATCCCCCAGCTTTAGATTAAAGAATGCAAAGAGGAAACACAACTATTCAAGCAATGTCAGAATGGCAGCTCAGTAAAAAGGGCTAAATTCCAAACCTGTTAGTGGAGAGCTACTAATTTGCATTTCATAAATAGCATAAATTCAAGCCATGCAGTTACTGCTTAGGGACTGTATAAGTGTGCAATCTGGTATCCACCATGATCCTGAATCTTGTAAAAAATCTATGGAGAATAAAAGTAAAATGTCAGATTCTTCACAACACAATTCAGCATAGCAGAGAAAATAATGTCTAATTTATTATTTTGCTACAAATTTATTGTGTTTGTTGGTAATTTTTAATGGAGAGGAACATGGTTTAATTAGTTGGTTACTCAGTTGGTATCCCTATTGCAAACTTTCACAAGTGCAAATGCTTAAATGAGCAGATTATTTTGATGCTATAAGCATTACAATGTGCTTGGAATCTGGACAGTTCAGCCTTATCATGAATACTCTGCCTTCTGTTTCTTCCTACTGCTATAAAAGGCTAAAAAAGCAGGAATGATTATGAAAGCATAGAATCCTAATTATAGATCTTGGTATCCTACTTTCTTTACAGTCAGGATCACAAGTGGGATTTCTTCTTTCTTTTTTTGGAAACTTTGGAAATGGCAAACAAGGATCAGTTTGGGTAATCTGCTAATAAACAGATAGAAATTTTGTTTAGCTATATAGTTTAATGGAAGGAAGGAGGTGGGAGCAAACAGGCCCTGTACATAAGCCCACTGTTCCTTTACAATAAAACAGGATTCTCTAGAATACCATTGATGTTGTGTCTGAATGATACCCTGCCCTGTATAAATCATTTGACATCAGATCATTGTTTTGAAGAGCACGACATGGATATTTTTAGAAGCCATGTGTCAGGACTATCTCCGATCAATCCCTAGGAAAGAAAACCCTTGACTCCAGAGATTCAGAAGAAAGGTATTTTTACTAGGAAAGAACACTCTATTTTGTGACATGTCATGCTGGCCACTTGACTGTGGAAATGTCTTCTGACAGTGTTGGCTCAATGGCCTAGAAATAGAGATGAGCATTGCCCCCTAAAGTCGGCTATGACTAGTGGAGTAAAATCCACTGGAACTCTTACCTACAGGCAAGGACTTTTATATAGTTTTAATCTCAGATTTTCACTATAGTTTGTATAATTGTATTTCTTGTTCATTGTTGGTATAATTATTTATAATTTTTAAAATAATTTTTGCCATTGGCCCAAGCAGCTGGTTATGAAGCAGATTATCCTAATGATTGCTCTGCTACTCTTAAGATGTAATTGTCGTGTTTGTCTGTTCCACATATAGATGTTCCTGCCTGGCTCAAAAGTCTGCGTCTCCATAAGTATGCTGCCCTTTTTTCCCAGATGACCTATGATGAAATGATGTCCTTGACAGAATGTCATCTTGAGGCTCAAGTATGTTAGATTATCTAGTTTAAAAAAATAGCTTCTGAGTTGCTTTGGCCATTTGACGCCTAATCATCTAATGATCATCCAATTTAAGAGCAGATTAAACACTTTTTTTTTATTAGCACTAATTCTGCCTAAATGCTTATACAAATAAATACCAGATTTGAAGGGGGAAAGAGATGTTCTTAGTCTGAACCATTATCCTCACTAATGACTGGTACTGCTTTAACTGGTGTGTTTCCTCCTATGGCTACAAGAAAATGCCAGCCTTACAAAAGCTTTTATACAGGCTTTTATTTGGCAAACTGTCTTTTCTTTTGACCAGAGGGAATGTTCTCTGAACAAAGGTGCACTCTGAATGCTCTGGTAGATAGAATTAAAGATCAGAGGATACCTGGTCCTTTTTCATCTGATGAAATCACCACTTCTTCTATTTTTCCTCCCCAATCTCCACTCATTCTAGATCGTATTTGCGGGGGGCGGCGGGGGGGGAGATTAGGGAAATAGCAATAGCACTTAGACTTATATACTGCTTTATATAGTGCTTTACAGCCCTCTCCAAGCAGTTTACAGAGTCTGTATATTGCCCCCAACAATCTGGGTCCTCATTTTACCCACCTCGGAAGGATGGAAGGCTGAGTCAACCTTGAGCCTGGTGAGATTCGATCTGCCAAATTGCAGGCAACTGGCTGTCAGCAGAAATAGCCTACAGTACTGCACTCTAACCACTGTGCCACCAAGGCTCTTGATCAAAACCTTTGATCTATACCACCGGCAAGCTTTCTTCACTGGAACAGAAATCTTGTGTGACTGAAAAGCGTCCATCTCTCTTTAACGAATTAAATAATTAAGATTGGAAGCAATTAGGTCTAGATCAGGCACATTTTGACTCATTCTAAAAGATTCAGCAGAATTTTCAGGCCTTGGGGGCCATAATACTATGTACTATACCAGAGCACCCTGCCTCAGACATCTGAAATCAGGTATGTAATTACGATAAGCAAATTATAACAAGGTTTGCAATGATTGCAACCTAAACTCTAACCTATCAATGATGAACTCATTTGCTCAAATGATTCTCATAAGAATATTGGAATCTAGTAAACTTTCTTAAGATTTAGTAATTTTACCAGCTTTCATACATCTATACATTTAGCATCTACCAATGTTATAATGCTGGTTCTGTATTAATCTAAATAGTTAAGTGGCTAGGACCTATCACATATAGGTTGCTTTAGTCTGGAGTGATTAACTGTGTTTCCCCCATGTGCGACAATCCTGTATATGTGTACTAATATTGTGTTCTATGTCTCTGTTGCAGAATGTTACCAAAGGTGCAAGGCATAAGATTGTGATCAGTATCCAAAAGTTAAAAGAGAGGCAGAATCTCCTCAAATCCTTGGAAAGAGTAAGTACTGTCTGTTTTTTCTTTAAAAACAAATGAGAGTTTGGCTATTACTTCAGCTAAATGTATGGATAATGCTCTGAAGCTCTTTGCCTATATGTATACCTCTGGACTGATGAATTGCTATGTATAACATAGTCACTTCCTTTCCCTGGATATGACTTTGGTTTAGGAATTGTGATCTACAACCTACCTACCTACACACATACATACCTTCTTCATTCATTGATCCATTCATTCAGTATTTCTGTGGCTAGCTATTCACACATGACTCAGGATGGCTTACAAGGGGTTAAAACATCAATATATTCAATTAAAACAAGAATAAAAATGGTTGTGCGAGGGTGGAGAGAGTTCACAAAGATTAACAAGCCACCCAAAAAGAGTAAGGTCTACAAGATTCACTTGTAAAACAGCAGGATTGAGGCTGCACAAATCTTGAAGGAGATGTGATTCCAGAGTGACCCATTTGTGCGAGTCCATGCAATATCTAAGCACAGACCACTCAAATAGAGAATTATGACAAACAAGATTACTGACCTGTATGGTTGCAGTTATTAGATCTTTACCAGGTTAAGCATATTGTATGAATATAGCACCATGTTCTTCAAAAGCAATAGAGAAATTATTGAAGTGAAATGGAATACAAGGAGAATAAAACTGAGATGAATACAAAAAAAAAAGATTACAGAAAGAAGGAACAAAATTTGGTGGCAGCACTTTCCTAGCCTTGGCGGATCTAAAACAAAGATAAATAGGATCAGACGTGGTTAGCCTTGAGTAAGAGACATCCAGTAAATTCTAAGGCAGTAAGTTAGACTAGGTTATGAAAAAAAGTCCTAGAAGAAAGCAAAGAATTCTTCTGTACTTTGACCAAGAAAATGACATGTATGTATTGATGTAGTCACCAGGAAACAGGCTTCTCTTGAAGGAATTTCAAACTTTTTTTTTTACCATAAATAAAGAAGAGATAAATACAAGTAGTCCCCAACTTAAAACCACAATTGGGGCTGGAATTTCCATTATAAGTCATTGTAATCATAAGTCACGTCATAGTCAATTTTACAACAATTTCTACAGCAGTCATTAAGCAAATCAGTGTGGTTGTTAAGCAACTCAATGGTCATTTTATGATTCCAGCTTCCCTAGTGGGCATTTTTTTTGCTGGAAATTCACAAAAAGGCCACAAGTAGTGATCATAGCAATAGCAATAGCACTTAGACTTATCTATCGCATCATAGTGCTTTATAGCCTTCTCTAAGCGGTTTACAAAGTCAGCATACTGCCCCCAACAATCTGGACCCCCATTTTCTCCACCTCTTCAGGATGTAAGGCTGAGTCAATCTTGAGGCGGTGAGGATGTAACTCCTGGCAGCGGGCTGAATTAGCCCGCAATACTGCATTCTAACCACTGCGCCACCATGGCTGCTAAAAGTCATGTGACTTTCCTGCAAGCCTTGAAAGCCATATTTTATTTAGAAGCTTCGAGGCTGCCACATTTTGTGCCTGGGAATTTGGGAGGGGGGATTTCATAGAGAGGTGGAAGATTAGACTCAACCACATTCTTCTCAAAAGCCAAGGTACCCTGCACCTGGAGAGGAGTGTCTGGAGGGATGTCCCCAGTTGGGACTATGGTTGATTGGACATGTGATGGACTGGTGGGTGCAGGGGGTGGGCTTTTGATTTTCAATTGAAGAGGGAAAACCTTACAAATGTTCGTTTAATGACAGTTTGAATTAACAACAGCCTCGGAATTAATAACGGCCTGTAAAGGCACTTCTGATCATTGCAAAACGTGGCCCCATTTCTCCTGCAGCCATGTTAATTAGAGTCTTGAATTTTGGCAACCCGTTCGCACTTACAACCACTTGCCACTTGCCAAGAGCCTTGTAATCATGTGATTGCCATTTGCAATCTTCTCCAATGACTTCCTTAGAAGGTCACGGGGAAAGTCGGCAGGGTAGGTTGCAAGCTGATGCTACCTGCCCAAGGTAGGAGCTCCTGCCCTCTCATCTCTTGGGGTCTGTCTAAAAGAGCTCCCTGCTGAAGGATTTCGAATTGGTGCCTGCTTGAATTTTGGCTGCAGAAATCACTTTTTCAACAGGCCTTGCGGGTGGGAATGTTAAGATCTGCTCCATTTTGTACTCTAAAGATTAATGAAAGTGGAGTCCCATTTCTCTCAGGGACTTTGTTTTTATTATATTGTATTGGTATTTTAAACTATACAGTTTAACCTTATTTGTGTGAACAAGGCAAGCAAGCTGTTCAGAGTCAGCTTTGACTGGAGGGATATATAAGCCCTGTAACTAAGCTAACAGAAAAATCAATAAAGTGGCCCTACTTTGTTCCAGCATGCGAGTACCCAATTAGGAAGGGACAGAATTTGCTTGCCATTATACATTCTCATGTTGTCCAGCCCACTCGGTCTGTATTCATGAGCATGCAGTCATAGAAAGCTTTCTTTCTCTCTCTCTCCCTCCTTTTAAAATGTTGTAATCTTATTCTCAAAATGTATATTTTCATCTAAAAGCTAACAGGGTCACTCGCAAGAGTTCTCATCAGTGGTGGGATTCAAAAATGTTTTACTATCGGTTCTGTGGCATGGCTTGGTGGGCGTGGCAGGGGAAGGATACTGCAAAATCTCCATTCCCTCCCCACTCCTGGGGAAGGTTACTGCAAAATGCCATTCCCTCCCCACCCCGTTAACCTGCTTTCCAGCTCCGTTCTCCTATGCAGGGCAACAAAAGAAGACCCAGCCAATCATCTGGGATTCAGGAGGCAGAGAATAGATGGGGATGGGGCCAGAGGTGGTATTTGCCAGTTCTCTGAACTACTCAAAATTTCTGCTACCGGTTCTCCAGAACTGGTCAGAACCCGCTGAATACCACCTCTGGTTCTCATAAAAACATCATCAAAACTTCATCAGATCTTGTGTGGGATTATCAGAAACACACATATTGTGTGAAATGTTCACAATCTTACTTGGGTTTCTGCAGCATCTTGAAGAGGGTTTTGGGTTTTTTTTAGCAGTCTTGCATCAGATCTCAGGAAGCGTCAGCTTTTTCACACAACAAGCGTCAGCTTTTTCACATACCAGGGTTTTGACATATTATGGGGCTGCAGCAGACGCACCACTTTGCACCATTGAAACCGTGTTCCTACTTCTGATCTAAATCCCTATAGATGTCACACTCTTTAGTTACTCTATACGTAAACATTGTGGCTCCTGTTGAATATTCTCATCTAGGGACTCATGAGAAACAGTGAAGAATAAATGGAATTGTGTGAACAGTGCAATATAGTAGGTTATGGAAGTGTTTAGAGCTGTTGATAAGAAACGAAGTTTGAGAAGATTTGCTAAGATTGTCTAAAGGGAAAGTTAGCTATAACAGTGGCTTCTTTGAAGTACTTTTGTTTCTTTCAAGACAAAATATTTAGGCTTAATATTATTAAATTAAATTATTTTGTTTTGCTAACTTTGATACTGAAATGAAATTTTCATATCCAAGGAATAAGTTTTGAATACAGAAACAGAAAACAGGAAAAAATTTATCACCTGTTTATATGGAAGCTGGCCATGTTGGAAAGAGGATGTTAATGTAGATGGACCTTTGATCTTATATTCTTAACAGAGGGTCCAATGTCATGGTTTCTCCCAGTAGAGGCTGGGAACTATAATTGTACGAAGTTGATTAATTCCATTACCTGTCAATCTTCCTAACAAAAATGACTGATAGTTTCTAGGTTGCAATTCAGTATATAAATATGTCAAAATTATTTCTAATTTAACATTAGGAAAATCTTCTAAGTGAGAGTAAGGATCACATACAAATTATTGATGGAGACAGTGAGCTCCTTTTCATTAGATCTGCTGAAGCAGAGGCTAGAGAGCCATTTGTTAGGAGTGAGTTGATTTTCATCAATCCTCCCATCTATTTATTCTAAATTGACTAAAAAAATAGGAAATGATATGGAGGAGCAAGAATTTTAATCTAGATTTCATTAAAATAAGGATTTGAACCCAGATTTCACAGAATCAAGGCAGCATGTTTCTTACAGTTTTGGCTTAGATGGGTGTGTAAACTCAGTGATCGTTATTTATGAACAATTATTTACAGTTTTAGCATCAAACCCAACCGGCTTTTATTTATTTTACAAATAATACAAAAAGATTAAGCAAGTCATGGTTGGTTGCAATGTATGAACCAAAGCTAAAATGACATTTTTAGTGTCTTATATTCTGCTGACTTGTCAGGTGTTAAACATTATTTAGGTTTCTTCTTTGGGTCATCTTTCTGATTTATCTTATGCAAATTCTATTGATTCTATTGTTAAGCCTGGATTCCCCAACGGGTGTTAAGGAAAACAAACTAAACAGAACGTGCAGCGAAGTCAGATAGGAAGACAGGTAAATGTGTGAGATAAGTTTTCTAGTTAACACGCAGTAAAAATACAGATACGCTTGTGCTATCAAAATTATAATTTATTCCATTTAAGAATTATAGCATAGTCATTATAAACAGTCCATTAGTCATATACCAAATTCAGTCAAGTCTTGTCGAGGATACTCTAATTGCAAAGTCCGTGTCGAATAGCCAGTGTCAGTACACATATAATAAATCTGTCCAAAACTTATCTTCTCTCCGTTGAGAAATATCTTCAAAGTAATCCAACACTTCTTCTCCTCCCCGATCCAGCAAGAACGCAGTCTTCAATAAGCCAGCCAGTAAGAGCCAGAGAGTGCCTTGCTGCTTATATAGTACTTTTACAGCTGCACCCTTAATTACATTCCTTTAGCTTAAAGTCACATACACTTTATCTGACAAACCATGATTCATCATTTTATTATCTTTACCCAAAACAGTTAGGGTAAAACAATGTTATCCCTAACAGATGTTTCATTGATACTCCTGCTTGGCTCAGAACTATGACGTGTTGGGATGATTCAGGATTTGAGATGCTCACAGGTGGGTCTGTTTTGCTACCCGCAGGATATCCTAGAAGGAGGCAACCTGCGCCTCCCTCTGCAGGAGCTTCACCAAATGATCCTTACCCCTATCAAAGCATACGCTTCTCGGAACCTGTCAGTGGATGAGCACACTTCTCACCTCCATCGACCAACTTCTCTGATTGGCTCAGACAACCCAGGGTTGGATTGCAAGGACTCTGCCTCAGGAGGAATGCAGCACCACAGCTTACCCGGTTGTGAGGGGGAAACTGGAGGTGTCCCTTTGCCAGAAGGGGACATCCCAGGACAGTTTACTAAAGTGATGGGAAAAGGTGAGTTGGCTTTTTTATTCATGGTCCACTTGTGCCTGTTGCAAATCGACATTCATTAGCCAGTCTGCTGCAGGGATTTCTTACTCAGTTAATTAATTAATGTAGAGGCTGCCTGATCCAAATGTCTCAGGATGGTTTACCTCTAACAACCAACTTATTAAAAGAAAATTACAGTCAACTGGAAAAGCAAAGTGCAAAGAACTGAAGAAGAAGCAGTGGGTGGAAACTAATCAAGGAGAGAAGCAACTTAGAACTAAGGAGAAATTTCCTGACAGTGAGAACAATTAATCAGTGGAACAACTTGCCTCCAGAAGTTGTGAATGATCCAACACTGGAAGTTTTTAAAAAGATGTTGGATAACCATTTGTCTGAAGTGGTGTAGGGTTTCCTGCCTAAGCAGGGGGTTGGACTAGAAGACCTCCAAGGTCCCTCCCAACTCTGTTATTCTGTTCTATTCTAAATCAAAACCAAAAAGTTGGCTCCACAATCACATTGGCCTTAGTACTGATTCAGAGAATGGAGCAATGAGGAGCTAAAGCAGAAGGGCTCAACCTGTTTTTCCAGAATCCTGTGCAAGCTGCCAACCCAGAAGCATCCATTATGGGAAGACTTAGAACAAGGGTGGGTGATTAAGTTTTCTTAGGGGCCAGTTGGGACTGTTCTGCAGGGCTACTGTGAGCCTCTTGATGCTATCTGCTCCCCACACTCCCTGTTGCTGCTCCGATGCCCCCTCCACCTCACTCCCACAGGCTGAACTGGAACCACCCAAAGGCCTGCAGGCTTTTAAATGCCCAGGTCTGACCTACAAGTTGGGGTACAGCCACCATTTGGTTTCCTTTTGATCCCCCATAGTGAATGTGCCTGGTTTTTCCACAGTGTTTGAGAACTTCTTCCCATGTAACCCAGAAATGATTTGCTCCTGACTTTCCTGGGATTGTTTTTTTTAAATTACCTATTGATTCTAGGAATTCCCTGATGTGCTCCTATCCAAGAATGAAGTTCATATTGCTCAATTTTTGCAGTGTGACTCAAGATCAGCTAAGTGCTGCCATCTGTTGTGACCCATTCAACTTGAATTAAGTCTATTGTAAATAAAAGTTTTTATGAGGGCTTCATCTGTCAAATATTATTTGGAATGCAGCACGCTCCATACTAAAGTAACGATGATCCTTTACTTGAAAAAGTTTGATCTAATAGAATTAGATATTAGGTAATTCTCCTTCTCAGATCCATTTAATAACTTGAATATCGTACGTTTAAATACAGGATACAGTTTTCATTTTTGTAATTTTGCTTTGCATATTATTGTACCCTCACTCTGTTTGCTTTATCTGCTGTATAGGTAATCCTTGATTTACAACAGTTCATTTAGTGACCATTCAAAGTTACAACGGCACTGAAAAAAGTGATTTGTGGTCATTTTTCACACTTACGACCGTTTCAGCCTCTCTACGGTCATGTGGTCACCTTTGACAAGCAAAGTCAATGGGGAAAACCAGATTCACTTAACAACCATGTTACTAATTTAACACCTACAGGGATTCACTTAACAAATGTGGCACAAAAAGTCATAAAGTGGGCAAAACTCAATTCACAAATTTCTCACTTAGCAACATAAATTCTGGGTTCAACTGTGGTTGTAAGTCGAAGACTACCTGTATATGAACCTTTTTTTTCACTTTCTCTTCTTGTCTTCCTTGTTCTGTTTCTCATTCTGTCCCCATTTATCCGAAATGCAATTGCTATATACATTTGCTGTGATTTGTGTCCCTACCAAGCAAACTGCAGTGAAGATCTCATACTTTGATCTTGCCACCTTCCATAGTTGCAGCAACAGCAACATTTAATACAGGCAGCAAAGCATCAGTCCAGGGCATTTGCAACTAAAATTGATTCCAAATTCAGCTGTGTTTGGAGTTGTTTGAATTCAAAATATAAGTGGCTTGTAGAGCATATTTTCGCATGTAAACAAATCCAGAATCAGTTTCTCAGATAGCAGGATCTTCCATAGAATTATAGAATACTTTTGAATTGGGACAGCCTTTCAAATTAAAGTCATTCTGTGCCATCCATTGTGTATAGATCTACTAAACCAGATGTCTCCAACCTTAGCAACTTTAAGACTTGTGAGGAACTTTAAGACTGGCTGAGGAATTCTGGGAGTTGAATTCCACAAGTCTTAAAGTTTCCAAGGTTGGAGACCCCTGTACTAAACCATCTGTGACAGGTCGCCATTCAGCTCCTTTTTGAAAATGTCCAATGAGGGGGAGTCCACCTTTCTTATATACACTAGTGTTTCTGAACCTTAGCAATGTTAAGGTACACAGACATCAACTCCCAGAATTCCTCAACCATGCTGGCTGGGGAATTCTGGGAATTGAAGTCCATGTTATCTTAAAATTGTTGAGAATCAGAAGCACTGTTCTACACAGATTGTTCTCTGCTGTTTTACAGCTCATGGCCAGGAACTACTTCTCATTATTCAGCCTGAATCTTATTTCTTTTAATTTTAACTCAACAGCCCAGTCCTGGGTTGTTTGTTTCCCTGGTTTCAACAAAGAATAAATCTGCCCTTTCTTACATATGACAGGTTTTTTTTAGATATTTGTAAACCTTTGCAAGCTAAATTACCTAGCTTCTTTGACAATTCCTTACAGGGCTTGGATTCTAGCACCCTTTTAATTGACTTTGTTCTGGCTTTTGTTACTCTTTTTAAGTGCATTTCCCAAAAACTGAACATAAAATTCCAAGTATGATCCAACCAGTGCTTTTAGATAGCCATTCCCAAATATAAATTTTGGATAACCATGATGTTCCATTTGAAATAGTAGGTCAATACATTCAAAAGATCAAAAAGTGTGAACTGTCATCTCCAGAAAAATTGTCCTGGCTACATATGCAATGGCTTACTGACATAATGGCCAAAAGCTGGGTGGGATCTGGAGGAAGAAAGCTGGCCTAATTGGGTCCATGGACTGCAGCTTCCTTAGGGATACTAGGACTGTAGCAGAGACACACTTTAAGTGCAGTGTGTTTGACAATCAGACTTTAATGCCTACTGTTGACAAATATTGGCCTTTTAGACCTTGGAGCAACTGTGTCATCAAGATGTGCTGAATGACAGCTTCTTTCATTCCTGGTCAGTTTGCTCAATTGCTTTGAGCAAATGTTTGAACTTGTAGCTGTTTAGTCTAGAGGTTAAGGTACCAAGCTAGAAACCAGGAGTCACTGAGTTCTAATCTAGCCTTAGGCATGAAAGCTGGCTGGATGACCATGATCCAGTCACTTTCTCTCATCCCAGACCACCTCACTGAGTGGTTGTTGTGAAAAAATAAGATAAGAAAGGAGCATTAAATATAGCAATAGCACTTAGTCTTATTTACCACTTCATAGTGCTTTACAGCCCTCCAAGTGGTTGACAGAGTCAGCATATTGGCCGCAATAATCTGGGTCCTCATTTTACCGACCTTGGAAGGATGGAAGGCTGAGTGAATCTTGAGCCGGTTAAAATCGAACTCCTGGCAGTGGGCAAAGTTAGCCTGCAATACTGCATTCTAACTACTGCACCACCACAGCTCTTCAGTTACCACAGCACCACAGTTCACCACCTTCAGTTATTTATAAAAATAATAAAGGGAGAATATAAATAAATAAAGTAAATAAATAACTCAAGGGTACTGTATTATGGCAGACTAATCTAGATGTCAGTGTTTGCTCTATGAATCCAATATGATTCAGTATGAAGAAGCATATTTTTATTTTATTTACTATACTATTTTATTGTAATAATAAAGTAATATAATGAATAACAATAAAATATTATAAAAATGTATTTGGTTGTATCATGTTCATACCTGCCCCCTAGTGGCAGTGATTAAGTTACATTATTCCTTATCTGTCCCATCTACTAAAGTCCTTCAGTAGCTTTTCAATACTGGAACTGAGGAAGCAGGGGGCCCAGCAGCTTCCTTTTTATAAATAAATCCACATGGAATAATTCCAAGTTGACACCACAGTAACAGAAAGCAAAGAATGGAACAAAACTGAAAAAGGCATGAATGGAATCCACCCCGTATCTGTGTACATTTTTTATTGACAGTTGTTTCCCATTGATGGCAATTCTTTTCAGGTCACCAGAATGAGGGCAGTTTGAGTTCATTCTTCAAGAGATTTAAAACAATTGCAAAATTCTCATTAAATGTAAAGTTATGGGGTTGATCATGATGTTGTTATTTTGCAGTTTGTACCCAGCTCCTTGTCTCCAGACCTGACGAGGAGAATATAAGCTCCTATTTACAACTCATAGACAAATGCCTAATTCATGAGGTGAGTAATTTTAGGGAGCTGAGGGAAGGGAGGGAGATTGGCAATTTTTTGTTCTGTTCCCATTTCTTGAAGAGATTTGCTGGATTTCCTAGATATGCAAATATGACCATTTGAGCACTAATATTGGCATGGGTATGGCTTAGAAATAGTATCTCAGCTCTACCTAAATCAGTTCCTGCCCAGCAGGGTAGTTTTGGGAAGACTCTAATTCAAATCAATCAAAACCAATTGCCAGTTATTATAAATACAGTATTAAATGAAACACTCATAATTAAGAGGGAAAACGGACTAAATGATTTCTAAGGATCACTTTCTGGTTCTTTGCTTCTCTGTTAATAAAATGATGTTAAAAAGCTTCTGCCTTAGAATAAACTGACTAATGAAAGAAACACCTCTGAATATAATTGCTATTAATTTGCAATTACAATTAGCAAACATTTTCCTTATATGGTTCTAAATACTCTGGAGTTTTTCCCCCTTCTGTTGATAATGATCTTGCATAGGTCAAATGTTGTTGCTCTGTTCTTTGTCTATGATCACACACTTGGGCCTCCCTCTATGCTGCAATTTCTCTTCTCCAATTTTGGCATTCCTGAACTACACATAGCTTACTGTAACTGTTTTCTGGCTTCCAGAAAACTTCAAAGCTTTGTCCAGACTTTTGATGTTTTATATTTATCAAGTAATGGTTAACATTTATAGCCAGCTTTTCTATGGCATCTGGCATTGAAGAGATGTTCCGTAACATCTGGAGTACGATAAACCAAATGACCAGTTGACTGGTCAACCTTAGCCATCTATCATCATCTCATCTCATTTCACTTTTTAAAAGAGCAAATGGTTCATATTAGATTTTTTTGCTGTCATCCTTGTCCAGGCTTAGGGTTTAAATATAGTTGAAGCTGACTATTAAGGGAACTCATTAGTTTCAGTCCAATCTCTCATGAAGTGCTACTTTCATTCTCCCCACAAATGTTTGTCAATCTGGCGCAGTCTGACCAAATCTGTCTTTTTACGATAGTGTAATAATATTTATTCCACCTGGCCCTAGGAAAGAAAACAAAGCTATGGTTTGTTTAACCACAATTTCTTAATTAAACCTAATAAAGATTCAGAAGTAAACAAGTTCAAGAAAGGTAATCAAAAGAATTAGATTCTAAGTCCTGTGAAGATAGATTGAAGGGAAGGGAAGATTGGCTGAGAGAGATGATAGCACTCTTCAAGTAACTGAAATTACAGAAGTAGTAGAAGAAGGCAAAGGTTTGCTGTCTGTTCCAAAATGCAAGCAACAGAATAATGGTAAGTTACAAGAAGGCAGATTCCAGTTGATTGTTAGGAACAAGATTTTTTTTAAATAATGGAAACAATTCAGTCTGAAATGGACTGAACATCCAAACAAGATGTGCTGCTTGTGGTTGAAGAGTGCAATTCCAAAGTTGGAAGTAGAAAGGAAAAAATATATAGTTGACACAGAAATAAAGGAGAACAGCTTAGTGGCTTCGGCCAATCCAGTTATTTCCTGATATTAACCCAGTCTTCAAAGAACATGGGCATGGGCAATACATGGAATGCACAGAAATTAAATTGTTTATATGATTAATATAAGTAAATGGAAGAGGTCACTTATAATAGCAACGGATGAATTGGTCATACGCAAGTTCAAATTCAAGCTAAAATAGAAAGTTGGTCAGTTTCAAGGATATATCTTGTGCATATACCCACAGTTTTTAAGCAGAACATTGGGAATTGCTTTGAAGTCTTGAGCCATGTATAGGGAATCGGAGAAATTGTAGTATAAAATCAAAGACATTGTCAAAGATAAATGTGAACAGAAAATGCCAAAGACCGAGAAACAGACGAAAGCAATCTGGATGTCAGAACAAACAGTGGAAATCGCCAAGACGAGAAGCCAGAGCCAAGAAGAACAAAAATTGTAGGAAGGAACTTTGAAAAGAATTTCAGAGAGCTATTAAAAAGACAAGAAACAGTATTGCAGTGAAATCTGGAAAGACATCAAAGATGAAAACAGATACAGACAAATAAGATCCAAAAGATCCCCAAATTTAGAAACTTTGCATTGATTTGCTAAAAGACACCAATGGGCAAATAGTAACTGATTCCAAGATCACACAAAGTTGGAAGGAGTATGCTACAATTCTGTACAGTACAAGAGAGATATCAACTTCCAAAGTTCCTTAGAATATCATCCCTATTTGCAAGAATATCTAAAAGAGTAAGATGAAACTAAATCAGCACCCTGGTCATTACCAAGTCAGAAGGTTACAGAAATTAATCAAATACTTATAGACATATGGCAAGCAACAGAAGAAGAAGAATCGGTAAAGATTCTAACCAAACCGTATTAGCAGATCTTGTTCTGACCAAGGCTTCCCGAGACTGTAATTAAGTACATGTTTAGTTAAAACAACTCCTTGTTTTATTTCAACGCTGGGAATTATGTTCATTCCCAGCCAGTAATGAGTCGAAAACAGTCCCTTCGAGATAAGCACTCACCTTTCTTTCCTTTGAACTGCTGCCAACAACTAGTGTCAAATGAATTATAAAAAACCAACTGAAATACAAAGTCCACACAGAGCTTCAAGGATTAATCCGAACAGAATGAACGACTTTGCTTCCTGCAAAGGTTTCTTCACCTTTGCCTGTCCTTCATACCTTAGGGGAGGGCAATCACCTCCAAGCCTTACTCCCTAATTTCCCCTTTTGTCTCAGCTGCTCTTGCCTTCTAGCAGCTCTGCACACACACACACTGGGAACAGGCTCCCCTAGTTCCTCGGCCTCACTGCTGCCAGACTCTGGAGGCTCCGGAGTCAGCACCCCACTCCCAGATGGTCCTGGCCCCATCTTGGCATCGGACACAGGACCCTCATCCGAGTCCTCTCCAGACTGCCAGACTGGTCCCCGTTCTTCCCCACTGTCCGATTCCACTGCTGTCTACACAGGCTGCCAGTGAACCACAACAGATCTGAACAATAACACAATGGCCAACAGATTGGAAAAGTTACCCCAGGAGATTTAGCAGTATGTGCAAACTATTCTATAAATGTCCTTAATTTCATATGCTATCAAAATAATGCATAGAGACATGTAACATAGATTGATATCCTTCGTGGAAAGTGAGATGCCAGATGTTCAGACTGGTTTTAGAAAATACAAAGGAACATGAAAAATATGCATACTAGGTAAATAAGAAAACCAGATAATATAATAGAAAATATAATAGAAAAGCCTTTGATTGCGTTGACCATGTCAAGCTGTGAAATGTCCTTAGAAAAATGGGAATCCCAACATTTCTAATTGTCCACTAAAGTTAAAGAAACAGGATAGAAAGAATATTAATGCTTTTGAATGTTGGCGTTAGAAAAGGCTTCTGATGGTTAGCTTTGGAAACAGAGGGGGTCATGGACAAATGAATCTTGATTATTTGCTTGAGGCAGAATAAACAGGGTCAAGTTATTATGATTTGGACCCATTTTGTGAAGACTTGGCTTTCTTGAGAAATCTATAATACTGGGAAAGATGAATGGAAAAAGAAGATGTTGACCAGCTGCAAGTGGATGGACTTTTGACCACAGTGGCAATGGGTGCACTATCAGAAAACCTAAAGGGTCAATTTGGGACAGATTCCTTGTATGGTTGTTAAGGATGTACACTGACTTGATGGCACATCCGATCTTTGGGAATTGGTTCATCACTAACATCTTATTGTTGATTGGTTAAGAACGAGATGTTAGTGGTGAGCTAGTTCCCAGAGAGATGATGCTCAACCCCAATATCACGTGTCAAATTGGGAGTAGACAGCCATCTGTTGAATCCGGATGAATCTGGATTCAACAGATCACTTGAATCTGGATTCCTGCACCGAGTAGGGGGCCAACCCTGGTCTAGGCTAGAGTGTGCCTTCCAACTTTTTCATCATGCTAAGCCAAATAGAGACAAGTAACATTATGGCTTACGTGAGACCAGTGTTTCCGAGCTGTTGATCCCATAAGAACCTTGAAGTGTTTGGTGCTATCGAATCCACATTAAAATGATGCTTGGCAACTTGCATGTGGAAAGAGCAGTAATGGCGTTTGAAACTTGGAGAGAGGTTATTTTACAGCCCCTCCATAGAATGACACGAGGATTGCAAGATTAATCAAATTCACAGCATCAGCCTGTGGGGATTCCCCTCAGTGATCCTCAAATACAGAAATGTTTGTGGCTCAATTTGTCTTTTCCCAAAGCATAATTAGTTGTACTGAAAAATACAGATTTCAGACTCTTGAGTGTAAAACTTGCTGTTTGGGAACAATGGTTGCCTCTTACAAGGTACGGTGTTCCCCTCATTAGTGATATGTTTTTATTAATAAGCCAGTCATCCTAATAACGATGATGATAAAGATCGCATGTGACTTTTTCTTCTAATCATTATTCTATTTTGAATGTTTACCTCCCCCCCTTTTCCCCCTTCCCTCCACCCTCCCATAACTCCCTCTCTTGGGCAGGCATTTACCGAGACACAGAAGAAAAGACTGTTGTCATGGAAACAGCAGGTGCAAAAACTATTCAGGTCTTTCCCTCGCAAATCCATCTTAGACCTCTCGGGATACCGGCAGCAAAGAACGTAAGATTGGGGCTTCATCCTGCAGACTCAACTCCTGGGAGTGCCAGTGCTATAGAGAGTTGGCTGTGTTAAATGCTGTAGGGCTAGGGCTAGAGGGCCAGTGGGTGGAAGGCACACCTCTTGGATCAAGGGGGTGGGGAATCAAGACTCACTGTTGCCCAGGAACAAGCCTAATTCAGCCTAGCAACTTTTACACTTCCACCGTGCCTGGAAACTATGGTGGGTTGAGCGATTTGTGATCAAGTGACAGGGTAGGAGTTGGAAGAAATCACACATACAAAATTATTAATTTCCAGATTCTCGACAGGAACATGGCTTTAGTGTGAATTAAATTATTTTGTAGTGGTTTATTTATTTCGGTCATTTCAGCACAAAGCTCTAAAACAGTTCTGTAATTCTGTGAAGTATTATTTAATTATAAAATGTTAAAGTGAGTTTCCCATGTCTTTTGTTTTAAACAAGACAACGTGCAAGAGATCTTTAGCCTCAAGGCTCCCTCAAAAAGAGGGAGATAAGGACTCTTTAATCAATTTAGTATATTTATCATGAGTGAGGTGTAAGTTTGGGGTTTGTAATACAGGAGGTGAATTGCATTGAATTGGATTTGTCTGATCTTGTTTTCTCAGCCGAGGTTTTGGCCAGTCAAACTCCTTACCGACAGCTGGATCTGCAGGTGCAGGAATGGGCAGAAGAAACCCACGCCAATTCCAAATTCCCTCTCGAAATCTCCCCACTACACGGCTGGGGCTTTTGGGTCCCAGTGGCCTCCTAGGAGCCAGCCAGCGCAACGGAGCTGCCAACCCCACCATCTTAAAGCAAGGAAGACAGGTGGGTATCCACCAACTTGTGGGTGATTCCTCAAAGCTACAGAGCTTGTGATAAAATGAGATAGAAAAGGTTTGCACTTAGGTTGCACTAAGCAAACTAGAGGGAACTACTTCAAAAGTGAGGTGGCTGGATCGTCCCTCAGTGAAAACCTCGTGCAGATTTGTCCAATGTTGTCACTGGCCCTCTTGGGATTTTCTGTGACTGAACAGAAGCCTCATCTAAATATAAGTTATGTGGAATCGATTTAACAGGCTTTGCTGCCACAAGGTGAAGAGATAATCACTAATTTTGATGACTTTAAGAAAGGATGTATACAGATCTGTGCCAGATAACTCTGCAAAGAGGCATCCACCCATGTTAACTAAAGCAACTGCCCATTTTATAAACACGCAGATAAAAATGTAGTACAAGTAATCCTCAACTTACAACCATTCATTTAGTGACTGTTCAAAGTTACAGTGGCATTTGAAAAAGTGACTTATGACCAGTCCTTGAACTAAAGACCATTGCAGCATCTCCATGGTCACATGATCAAAATTTGAGCTATGGGCAACTGGAATGTATTTACGATATCTGCAGCATTCCGGGGTCATGTGGTTGCCATTTTCCACCTTCCCAGTTGGCAAAGTCAATGGGGAAAGTGACTGGAGATTCTCAATCACCAAGGTCATGGTTGTCCCAAAGATGCTTTTCTGAAAGGGAAGCGGACTTCCTTGTTTTTTATTTCTTTGAAAGCATTTCACTTCTCATCCAAGAAGCTTCTCCAGTTCAATTCAGAACTCAAGAAGCTTCTTTGATGGGGAAACAAAATGTTTTCAAGGAAAAAAAAACAAGGAAGTTAAGATGCCTTTTGGAAAAGCACCTTTGGGTCAATGGGAAAAGCTAGATTCTCTTTACAACTATGTGATTTAATTATCACTGCATTGATTTGCTTACAGTTATGGGGGAAATGTCATAGAATTGGGCATGCCTTACTTAGCAATGGAAATTCTGGTCCCAGTTGGAGTCATAAGCCGAGAACCCGTATATCTTGCTGAAAGAAACAAGCATCCATTTCATTGCCATGAGACTGTTTTCTTTGGAACATCTGGCAGGCATTTGTTGAAAACTGATAAGTCTTTAATCTAAAACTGTCTTTCCAAAGATGGCACTCTTCAGAAAAAGTTATTTTTAACTGCCAGAATTCCCAGGGTCTGTGAGGAGGGAGTCTTGGGCATTATACTATAATCGCTGCATTTGTCCATTTGAGGAAAAGCTGATCTAAAATCACAAGGCAACCTCTACATGTGTATGATTCAGAGTATGTTTTTTTTTTCTTTTATGGAAAAGAAAAAGTATTTATCACTCACCTAAAGTTCCTTTGTTACTCTTTCCAGTTTCCTTCTTGGACTAAACTGAACTTGAATTTTCAGTTTAAAAATGAAAAAATGAAAGAGATTGCGCTGGCCAAAATAGTCTGCAGGCATTTCCTGTTTTCACTGTCTTCAGTCCTGTAAAGAGGTCCTGTAAAGGGGATGAGGGTTGCCGAGGGAAGAAAAATAAAAGGCTTTAAGTGCAGGAGAGACAGGCCCCGTTGGTAGGGATAGATGTTTTAGTCTGGCCTGTTCAAAAAGCAAATGCAGCATTTGGTAGGTTAAACTGAAGCCGTATAGAAGAAACACAAGCAATTGTCTGAAATTATAGTTGCAAGTTTGATGAATTTGAAGAATTTTCATCTTCAAAAAAGGGGAGAGAGAAAAACAGACCCAGGAAATTACAGATCAGTCAGCCCAACACAAATACCCAGGAAGATACTGGAAAAAATAACCATAAAAATACAATACTGTACTAAACAAGGTGGGATCCATCCAGTTTGCTTTATGCAGAAACACATCCAACGAAGGACTCCATCCATCTTAAGCCAAAGTCTGGGAAAACAATCAAGGATAATACAAGTAGTCAGGGAATGGAGGTGATTCAGTGCCCCAATTTCCTCTTGTCTATTTTTGTCCCAGGCTCAAAAGTTAAAAGAGACATTTTACTAGAAAATGAAGTCATCAGCCAGTGGCAGCAGCACTCATGGTCCTTCAGTGCTAGATATCATTGAAATTGTTCATTAGTCAGATATAATAAAATCAAGTACAGGTAGTCCTTGATCAATGACCACAGTTGGGACTAGAATTTCCACTGCTAAGCAAGGCGGTTGTTAGTGAGTCATGCCCAACTTTTTTGTCATGGTCACTAAATGAATTCAGTTGTTAAGTAGATCAGGGGGTCATTAAGTGAATCCAGCTTCTTCCATTGACTTTGCTTGTTGGAAATTTCTGGGAAAATTGCAAGCGGTGATCACATGATGCCAGGATGCTGCATCCATCATAAATACATGACAATCATCCAAAGTGCCCAGATTTTGATCATGTTATTATTGTGGGGATGCTGCAACAGTCGTAAGTGTGAGGTCTGGTTGTATATTACTTTTTTCAGTGCTGTTGTCTTTTCAAACAGTCATAAATAAATTGTGATGACCCAGGGTGGGATACAAAATAAACACAGTCACGAAAACAGGGGAAGCCCCTTTTATTCTTTCACTTTGCTTTAAAGCTCCAAATATCCTTGACTGGAGACAAAAAAACCCCCCCACAAGCAGTTACGAAAAGGAGGAAATGCCATTTAAACTAAAAATGCCTATAAATTATAAGAATAAAAACAACACAAATCACACTGAAGCAATTAAGGGAACTAGGCAAGATAAGGGCTTGAAAACGTCCACAGATATCGGAACACACACTGGGAAGGATGCCAAACTCAGAGAGGAATGACAGACTATAGAGATATTTCCATGCTTTGTTTCAAGCACTGGCCTATACGCATGTCTGTCCTTTTAACCAGTTCTCACAGCTGCAGCCCATGGAGAGAATCAAGGCCCTTTCCTCCCCCGTAGACCACGCTATTCACATCTCTCCCTTATCCTCTCCCGGCATGCCCTAGGATGGAGAGGGGATGGGCCTGGGTCTTCCTCTGACTGTCCAGCCGGCCTCTGCCCTTCCACAACCTCCTCCACAACTTCCGGAGCTGTATTTCCACTCCCTGTCGGCTGTTCCTCCTCTCCCTCAGAGTCAGTCTCCAACAGGGGGATGACATAAATGGTTGTAAGTTGAGAACTACCTGAATGGGCATATGCATTTGAAGCCAGTTGGAGGAGGTTCTACCAAATTACAGAAGGATGGAAGATTTTCTGAAATGAACTGTTTTGCTGCCCCCTTTCCAAAATCAGGACAGTTGTCCCTTTTCTGGTGAAATCTGGCACACTAGCAATTTGGGCCTCTGTTATAGGGATTATAATGTTGCTAGGGACCCTTGCCTTTCTACATTTATGACTTGCCTTATTTTAACGGCGCATGCTCTGTTGTCTCTCCATAGAATCTTTGGTTTGCAAATCCAGGAGGAAGTAACAGTATGCCCAGCCGAAGCCATAGTTCTGTACAGAGGACTCGTTCACTGCCCGTCCATACCTCTCCTCAGACAATGCTTATGTTTCAGCAACCTGGTAAGTCTGACAGGGTTTTCCTCTTCCTCAGGGCTCAGTCACCTTCTTATTTCCCCACTGGAAGAGGGATGGGCGTGTGAAAAGTACTGTATGGCTTGTTAACAATTCCTTTGGGAAGACCTTTAAAAGTAATGATTTGGCATGATTTAGAAAGGGGTGAACTCTCTCCCCCACCCCACCTTTTGTGTCAAATTGAATTAGAAATAAGCAATTTCCCCTTGAGCTGAAAAACAAACCACCACTGAACTCTGGACTAATAGTCATCTGTCATGATTCGTATAGCAGTTATTTTTAGCACAGTGCAGGAAAATTACCTTGAGGGTTTTTATGGTACCAGCTCCTATTTACTTGGATGAAACGAAATTTCATTGAATTTATGGCAGAGAAATTTTGCACTTTGATGAGATTCTCGGAGTGAACTAGGGTGTTTTTGAACTTAGTTATGAGAAGGCCGAGATGGGAGCCAGCTCACTGGCTTCCCACTTTTCCTTTAAATCCTCCGGGAAAACTTCATGAGGGAACTTTCCATGGAGCTTTTTCAGACTGGGAAATGTGGGCAGTGAGGAAGACCTTAAAATGGTAGGATGAGGGATAATAGAAAATTAATGCCAACAATAATATTACAGTCCCTTCCAAGAACCCAGTAAAACACTATTCAGAGAAATTCAAAAGAAATTCTGAGGCACCTTGAAAATAAGATAGAAAAAACAGAAGCTAATTCATGAGAAAAGAAACCTAAGAAATTGCAGTACAGGTACAACCACAATTGATCTCAAAATTTCCATTCCAAGCAAGGTAACTGTTCAGTGAATTTTGCCTCATTTTATGACCTTTCTTGCCACAGTTGTTAAATGAATCACTGCAATTTTTAAGTAACACAGTTGTTAATTGAATCTGGATTCCCCATTGACTTTGCTTGTCAGAAGATCACACGAGGTGTGATCTAAATTCAACGAACGGTTGCAGAAACTGGGCTTGGCTAGTCTAGTAAAGAGAAGGACCAGGGGAGACATGATAGAGGTCTTCCAATATTTGAGGGGCTGCCACAGGGAGGAAGGGGTCAAGCTATTTTCTAAAGCACCTCTAGGCCAGACAAGGAATAATGGATGGAAACTGAACAAGGAGAGATTTAACCTGGAAATAAGGAGAAACTTTCTGACCATGAGAACAATCAATCAATGGAACAGCTTGCCCTCGGAAGGTGTGGTAGCGCCATCACTTGAGACCTTCAAGAAGGGATTGTACTGCCATTTGTCAGAAATGGTGTAGGGTCTCCCGCTTGGGCAGGGGTTGGACTAGATGACCTACAAGATCCCTTCCAACTCTGATTATCTGTTATCTGTTAAGATAATCACATGACCCTGGGACTTGGCAGCGTCATAAATGCATGCCAATTGCGTCTAAATTTTGATCCCATGACCATGGGCTGCTGCATCAGTTGTTAGTGTGAAATAAGTCACTTTTTTTCAGTGCTATTGTAACTTCATATGGTCACTAAGCAAATGGTTGTAAGTCAAGGACTACATGTATAGATTCTGGCACAATATTATTTTGTTAATATTTACTATTTTACTATTTTATCATGTTTAATGTATTATCAGTGTATTTGGTTGTAATCCACCTAGAATCGCCTCTAGGTGAGATGGAAATAAATTCATTATTTACTTATAGAGAACTATGAAAGGGACAAAGCCTGTCAGGCAACAAATTCTCTTTAAGAATTAGTTTTAGGGAAAATAATTTTGATTCCCAAAAGTTGTTACTGGGCTCGATCTTCTTTAATTGTTTCTGTTGAAATAAGTGGGGATATTTACAGGGAATATGTTAAACCATGACTTATTTAACCATTGTTTATTAAGCCCCACTTAGCCGAGTTCATAAATCATGCTAAATTGAATTAATGATTTGCAGATATCATTCAGGATGCTAACAAATCACAAATAAATAAACAACTTGTGGTGTCATTTAGAATTCATAATGACTGGGGGTTACACAGAATGAAGTCAGAATGAAATAAACCTCATTATGGCTTACCATGTCCTGGGAATATGCTAAAAGTTAGGGATATGGAATAATCAGCATCTAGATTTTCGTAAAAGGGATTTGAATGATGAATTCTGGAGAAAGATCCCATCTTAAGATGTCAAGTATTGTGAACAAGAGGAAAGTTAGAGGTGGCATCAAATTGGCTCAGTCTCTGTGAACTCCGTGAACAAAAGCACAACTTGTTCCTAACTTCTTCTTTTTTTAAAGTTGAAAGTGTATGTTTTATTCATCCATCTGTTTCTGTGCCCAGTTGTGCATCTTTCTCCATGTTATTGTCTTCTGTCTTAATTAGCATCTTCGTTAGACATATATATTGCAAGGAATTGAAACCTTATATTGTAATACATCTTATTGGCTAGAGTTAATCGTCCCTTGCTGGTGGGATTATACCATCTTCAAAATTATCTAGAAGAATTGGGAGAACTTTTGTTGAGTCTAAAGTGAGAATGTCTTTTTTTTTCCTTTTTTTTTTTAAAAATCACACCTTTCAATAGCTATACCCTAAAGTTTAGCTAGAGGAAAAACCTTTCAAATCATAGTGGCAGTTCTCATCTGCTATATTTAGTCCTCTCGTTATCTTTGCAGAGTTCCAGGTCCCAGTGACAGAACCCGATATCAATAATAGGCTGGAGTCCTTGTGCCTGAGTATGACTGAACATGCCCTAGGAGGTAAAAAGCTATTTTTTTCTTCTTCTTTCTTTTACGCTCAGATTAAAATTGCATCAAGTCTTTCCGATACTGTGATCCCCAAGGTTCAGACTCCTGCTACTTGCATAATAGAGATTTAATATTTGAAAGCTGCATATATGCAAACTCTCACTTTTGCCATCAGTCAGGGTGGTAATCTTTGCAATTTTAGACTTTCCTTCTCTGTTAGGGGCACATCAGCAGCTGGACATTAATTCAGCTTTAATCCAACTACGTTAGAAGCATTTAGTTCTATTTGTACTTGTTCTCTGATCTTCTCCAATAGCTCACCAGGTTGCTTCCAACCTGGGGGTTCACCTGCCAGTATAATGTTGACTTTGTTCACGTTGGGAATGTCTGTGTTTCTGGAAAAATAGTAGAGTGTGTTATCCCAAAAGTGCTTTTTCAAGAGTCACCTTGAAATCTTGGATGAAAAGCAAAATGTCTTCAAAGAAAATCTGGAAAGTCCATTTGCCTCTTGAAAAAGCGTCTTTGGGACAACCATGACCTGGATGACTGAGAATCTCCATAGACAACTAGAGTGTGTTGCCACTTTCTTCTCCAGTAGATGATACTTTGTCTGCTTCCTCATCTATCACCTGCCCATTGTCTATGTCTCAGGTGGGTCTGGAAGCATCCAGGTAAAGCCTTCAAGATTTGAATCAGAGGGTTGCTTTGTCTCTTCAAGTGACATGCACAATCCTAATATTTATCATGGTTATTAGTATTTTCTGTTCAATCTACTCAGTGAGCTTAATGCATCAATTATAAGAAGAGTAAAATCACATAGAGTTAAAACAAACATTAAAAACACTCAGGGGTATCTACAGGGCATGATAAAAAAAATTTTTTTTTAAAGTAGCCATAATCTTGCATTCAAAACTCTGCCTTTTTTAATGTTTCACACATAAATAAAAGCAGGGAGAGCTTTTATGAAAGCATCATAGTCACCAACTTCTGTTTTGGACCATATCCTACAAACCCTCCTGAAAACATTCATTAGAAGCAACAATTGCTAAAATCAATAAAATCCAGACAGGAGACCCCCTAGAAGATGAATCAGAATTTTAATGTGTAACAGAAAAGAGATGAAGCTGATGGTTTTTATATTCATGATACAAAGTCATTCACTCTTAGCCCAACCACAGGGTTGTTGTGGGGAAAAAGAAAGAAGAAGGTGTATTGCATATGTTTGCCACCTTGAGTTATTTGTTGTACAAATATTAAAGGCAGGATATAAATAAATAATAATATAACGACACATTTATTTCATCACTGTACATGCAAATGTCCTGAGATTTTCCTGGTTTCTAAAAGAACTTCAGTTGAGTTGGTAGAAAAGGAAGGGGAAAAAACCCTCTTTTGCTTTTAAAAGACATCTTGCTGAGACATTTCATAACAAGACTCTGTTCCCTATACGTTGTTTTTTATTCTGAAAAGATCAAGCAAAGCATTGTCCTTCACATAACATCTTAAAGAGAGAGGAAAGGATTCAGGGGTTTGAGTTGATTTCCCCCCCCCCCCCCCCCACATGAACATTAAGCAAGATAGGATGGTGTGTGTGTGTGTGTATTTTAATTAGGAAAAACAGTAGATGAAATGAAACCTACATATCCACATTTGTTTGACTAACTACATTAACAGAGAGAACCATAATAGCTGGCCTTGGAATAGGTGATGATTCAGTATAGTTGTGGAACTAAGGATGGATGGGCTGTCTCCATGCTTAACAAAACCCACTTGTCTCTCCTCCATACATGCTTATGTAACTTACAAGCCACAGTCTTACCAGCAGACTTCAAAAGTATTTCCTCTGTCTCATTTCTGTGCTAAATGGAGAACATTATGCAGGTTTGTGAGTTAGAAGGAGGGGGAGGCAGGAGGTGAAGTTTAAATAGACAGCGGCTCCTTTCCATTTCTTTTGCCCTCTTTGAAGTTGTCCAGTGTAGGGCTACCAGATCTAAGCTGCAAAAAGAGTAATAGAAAGAAAGAAAGA